TGAGAGCACCTCGAGGGGCTGGAGAGCTGCTGGCTCCTCCTTCTCCCTAGCTTCGTCCCTGTCGCTGCCTCAGAAGGGCCACATGTGACATCTTTTGTGACATCTTATGACATCTTATGACATCTTATGGCATCCTATGATATTTTGAGACACTCCTGTCGTAATATCTTACTCGAGCATCTGCAGTAACTCTTGGCCAGTTCCTGACTCGTTTCGCACGCGAACGCTCCTGCGTGGTCTTGTGAGCGCTTGCCACAAAGTCGCAGCCAGACACAGCAATGCGGAGCCAAAAACGGAGCCGCGTGAACCGAGGGCTGGCTACGTCCTGGGCCAAACGCCGGAAGAGAATGGGAACTCCTTCGGACCTAACGCCTGGCCAGTGCTGTGTGCTGCCATTCAAGGAGCTGCCATTCTAGCCGCCCGGATGCAGCATGTCCGGCATGTCCCGGCCGTCAACCTCCTTGTTTTTGACATGTATTTGAGCCCGTGCCTGTGTCACCCAGTACCCATTGAGGCCCAGCCCGTGAGTGTGGCGGCGCGCCTGGTCCTGGCTGAGCGGTTGCTCCTGCCGTTGGCCTTCGTCATGCCCTTGTGGGGCACCTTCTTGCTCCTGCTGGGCCTTCTGTTCGTGGAGCAGTTTGTGCGTGTTGCCCTCCTCGCTGCCACCAAGTGGCTGCTTATTGGCCGCTACAAGGAGGGAGAGCATGACATCTACAGCTTGATGTATCTGCGGCACTGGCTGGTTGAACACCTTGCGAAGGGCACGATCGTGGGCCAGAACGCTCATCAAGGCAGCAACATCGCATTCCTTTTCATGCGCAACTTGGCACTCAAGGCGCTCGGGGCGGACGTGTCCCTCTCCTCCGTGATCACAGCCCGCGTCGTGGCTTTCGACTTGGTGAGCGTCGGGGACTTGGCCACCGTCCACGGACCCCGGCACCTCACTGCGGTGAACTACGGCAGCCGACGTATGGTGTTGAAGCGGGTGAAGGTCGGAGCTGGTGCTTACGTGGGGCCCAACTGCACCCTGGAACCAGGATGTGAGGTGCGGGATGACAATTTAAGCGTAGCTGCAGGCTACTTGTGGACGCCCTTACTTCCCTAGGCAGATTTGCTAGTTAGTGTGCCCCAGTCTGTGCCGGTGAGTGCTGTTCAGGTGGCTGCTGCCGGGTACGTGGAGCCCTTGTCCACTGTGCCCAGTGGCATGGTCGTCGCTGGCCGTGTTTGTGGGGTGCCGGCTCAGCTGGTGGCCGGCCTGGACGAGTCGCGGCTGCCGACGCCGGCCGAGGCTCGACGCTTTCGCCGCGTCGCAGCAGCTTTCGCCACGGGTTACTGGTGCCTCCTGCTGCCAAAAGCCGTAGTGCCCTTCCTTGGAGTCTTCTTCTTCCAGTTGCTTCGCGACTGCAAGAAGAGGCGGTCAATGCGAGCTCATGTGAGCCCATGACTATGTTGAGAATGTTGAGACAGCATGTCCAGTCTTCAACTGGCCCGTGTGACTAAGGCTGAGCAGCGACTACCCCTTCAACCATCCTGAGCAGGTCGAAGAGCACGTTCTGCATGCAGAGTACCTGGCCCCTCTGACCGCAGGAGGTTGTGCTGGCAAGTGATGTTGCAGCAATGTTGTGGTGACGAGCAGCGTTGCAGCAAGGATGCGTTGCCCAACCAGCTCTACACGATGTTCGTCTGGGTTCCGCTCATGGCCTTCGGGGTGCCTGGCAAGCAACCACGTGCAAAATGAAGTAAACCTGGCGCAGCCACAAGTGTGCCCAAGACTGCCCAGACGTGCCAATGTACCAACAAATCACTGCAGTTAGCGGGGAGCGCTTGATTTCAACCCGAGGTTTCCATGATCAACACGATCGGGCAGCTTTCGGCGACGGCGCTTCTGTGCCGAATCCTTCCAAAGGTAAAGCCGCCGTGCACGTACTCCTTGTTGAGCATCCGGGCCCAAATCGCGGCTCTCAAAATGTCGATGGTGCTGCAGGCTCTTGAACATTTCTAAGCATACTGCCAAGTAGACAACCTGGACAGGTCACGTAGAGATCCTCCCTGGTGTGGTAGAGCACCCGGTCAGGCATCCGAGATGCTGGCCGACGCGTCGATCGTGCCGGCCTTCATCCGCCTCTGCGGTGCCACCTTCGGCCACGGATGCGCTATGGGTCTGCAGGCCCGCCCCGGTCATGGAGCTTGCCCTCGCGTCCTTTCACTGCTGCTGCTTGCGTCGCATGCCTCACTCACCACTCATTCATGCGTCACTCGGGCCCAGACCCTCCTGAATGCAGGTGACGCTTCCGGAGACCCTGGTGGTGGGCAAGGGCTGTTTCTTCGCGACCGGCAACATCCTGACCAGCGTTGATGTGGACCGTGGCCAGTTCAAGGTGCCCTGCATCACGTACATGAGCAGCTGGGAAGCACGATAAGATGAGTGCCGCAGATCATGACATAAATGAAAGTCGTACAGATCATGAGTTGTGAACTGTCCGACCATGTTCGGCCCCAGGGCTGTGTTTCTCTTTTTGTTCCCGCGATCTGAGGTGATCACACTTTCCTGGGCAACCATAACCACCTTCCCCAAGGCCTCCCCGAAGGCAGCTTCTGCGGAGTGGGCACTTGGCTGCCAGAGAGGCCGACGGAAACGCACATGAGCTACTTCGGGAACCCAGCGATGAAGTTCAAGCGCCTCAGCAGCCAGGCAGCCGGCAAAGTGAACCAGGGCCCAGAACCTGCAAGCTGCCTGGCACGCTTCTGGCACCATTTCAGCACGAGCATCCTGGACGTCTTCTTGTACCGGGGCGTGCAGGGCATGGTGACGGGCGCCGCCTTCGTGACAAGTCGCCTGATGGTGCCGGACATCCTTACGGCTTGGCAGGCTCTAGAGGTCCTGGGTATCTACGTGGCCTTCGCTCTTGGCTCTTGGTATGTCTTCTCTGTGCTCCTCGGAAACTTGCTGTTCAACGGCCGCGCCCCGCGCTCCAACGTCGCGTGGACTTCAAATTTGATCCCATACGCTCCCGAGGTTTGCTCGAGCCATCTCGAGTTCGAGCCCAAGCCCTGTATCATCCTCTAAACTCTACCCATCTCTCACCACTCTAACCACAACGTACCACAGCAGAGGCACCTCTAGAATCGACTCGTGACATAAAGTGGGCTTCGCGTTTTTCGTCCAGTCCGAGGCATACTACTCGACGACCGTCACCCGCTGGTTCACGGCCCTGACAGCCCAGCAGCGCGTCTTCAAGCTGCCCTTCCAGGCACAGGAAACACGTGCAGGAAACATCAGGAAACGCTCAGTGTGGGCGACCTGAGACCTGGGGTTGAGCTTGGTGTGAAGTTTTGGGCTGGACATGTCTGGAAGTGGCTGGATTCAATTCAGATTCCCTCCTCCTTTTGTGAGATCTTGTGTTATGTTTGCGTGTTTGCAGACTGCTGGAAGCCGATGGCAAGCACCCATCTTGCGGCTCTTGGGCGCTAAAGTGGGCAAGCGCTTCTTCTGCATGCCCCGCGGAACTGATTTATGAAGCAGAGTGAGCAACTATGACTAACGAGACTTTCTTGCGCTTGGGCCCCAGTCGCATGCAGTCGTGTAGCGCCAGTCGACTCGAGGAACGAGCTGGTGCTGGTCGATGCGCCCTTTACTCAGATCGGTGATGACGTGACTGTCGACTATGATGGGCAGGTGAGGTGTCATTCCTTCGAGGCGCGCGTGTGTGCGCACATCAAGCTTCCCCAGTCTCATGCAAGCAATGAGGCACGCATTCGTCGCGTGGCCTGATTTGCTTTGTCTCCTGCGCAAGCATGCAGTAGGGAACGTTCATGAATTGGAAGGATTTCCGCCTGAAGTTCACGCAGTACAAGATCGGGAACGGAGTCACTATCATGAGTGGCGCCAGCGTGACTTGTCGCTAGTGCGGGGACGTGTGGAAGTCGCAGTGTGCAGTGCATCCATCCTGTTTCCTTGTTTGATGCATCGGGGCGAACGGGATTGTTCGGCTGTTCGGCTGCGTCCATGAACGCCTCTGTATCAAACACTTCAGACCGTGGGATACATCGGACATCATCAGGCAAACATGGGCGTGTCGCCTGACGCTTCTGCTTCAGGTCGCCATGTGCGATGCCGGAGACGGTGCGGTCCTGCGTCCAGGGAGCCTCACATGGAAGGGCACCGGATCTGCAAAGCGCTTGCGCAAAGTTGCAAAGTTGTAAGTGCCCGTTCCAGCGTGACGTAGCGTGACCCATCCCGAGTGAAACCGGCTGAAGAGAGGCAGCAACTTGGTGGCGGGAGGCACCTACGAAGGTGCGGACAGCAAGCATATGCAAGCATGGAATACGAAATCGCCATGTAGTGCCCTGTCAGGCGCCCCGGCAGCTGCTGTGGACGACCTGGAGCGAGCGCTGCCAGGTGCAGCGTGGCGTAGTGGCCTTGAGATGCAGCAGAAGGATGCACAAAGCGAAGAGTTTCTGCCATGTTGAAAGGACAGGCCACGGCCGCGCCCACGTTGCTGAAGAGCCGGCCGGTGATGCGCACTCTGAAGTGAGTCGTTTTGGCACAACATGTCCTGTGCCTCCTGTGCACGAGGGTGCACTGGAGGGACTTAATCTCAAAACAGTTTTGCAGCGTCCCTGTGCATCCCACGCATCCCTTTGTACAGATTTGTGCAGTACGAGCTTTCTGAGAAAGCCAGTGGAGATGCGCGCTCAGGGCGCGCTGGGTTGTCGCGCGCACGCCTCGCTGCCCGCCGTCGGCGCAGCGGGCTGGCGCACGATGCGCACGCTCGAAGCACCCCCCCCTACGCGACCAGGGGTCAAGGGCAAGATTGCAGAGCAACAATCAGAGCCCTGCGCCTGGATGTAAAGTATCTTGCGGTGCCCTGTCAGCGGACGAAGTGCTGATGCATGCTGATGCGCTAGCCGTTGCATAAAAACGTCTCAACATACATTTGCATGCCGAGCGCATCTGTAGAGGTGGTGTTCGCTAATAAAAGAATGCGCAGTTATGCGAGGTCCTGGAGATCGCTGCCCTGCGCTTCCCTTTGTGCCACTTCCTGAGGCAAATTGACTCCATGGCTGGCTTCAGCAGGTTTGGCGCAAGCAGCACCATTCTTTAGATTAGCGCGGGGTGCGGCCGCCCATCAGGTATCAGCGCCGTTGCAAGCTGGCAGGCGTTGCCCAACAGAGTGTGCCAGCGACTTACGACCTTAAGTCGCAGGTTTCCAGAACGTTTCAAAGGATGGTTGCATGTGCGGACTTCGGCAAGCGGGCTACAGAGTAGGTAGTGGGCTCCTCATTGTTCTTCGTTTCGGAGTCTTGGGGGGTCTCCGCCTCTGTATGTGCGCGATATGTAACATATGATGTAACATATGATGTAACATATGATGTAGCATGTGTACAATAATGTCCAAGTCATAATGTTTCTGGGATCCCATGAAGGGAAGAGTGGGACTGAGCAGACTGAGTAGGACGCGGCAGCGATCACGTCTGAGCTGCGCGGTCGAGCTGCCGCTTGGTCGCAGCTTGGGGAAATGTTCTGGGCCATGTTCATATCCAGCTTTTGGCTGTTCTTTGAGGTACTCGACCATGCCGTCCCAAAGTCAACTGCAAGGCCGAAGAGTGTCCTTTCGCAAGTTCGGCCACCTACCAAGACTTTTGTTGGCAACTTTTGGAAATCTGCTGGCCAGGGCAATCGCTGCTCTTGCACCTTTAGCTGTCAGTCCGGGCGACGGCTTTCCTAGCGGTGAGGCCGGAGAGCCGGAGGGATTGGAAGATATTTTTTTCGGCAACGTCGGGGCAAGTCGGCAGGTGAGCAAAGATTAGGGTTGGCAGCGCCTGGTAGGATTCTCCCGACACTTGGGCAATGGTCCTTGAGCGGCAGGTGCTGGGCGCCGCTGGTGTCACTCCTCGGGCTGCTGTGGCGGCTTGGTCAAAGGTTTCTCCAGTGTTTCTCCCAATCCTCTATGGCATTCTATGGCCCAATGACCCACTGCACAAAGTACCCCTACCACAGCTCCACCTTCCAGCAGTCCGCCCACGCCCAAATTCACACGAATTTGCCCGGAAACTTGGCATCAGGAATGGGCAGCTGTGCAGGGAACTGCTGCTTTGTCGTGGGCTGTGCCGCGGCAGCAGAGAGTGGTGCGGAAGATGCTCACCGTCAATGCTTCTTTGATGGGCGCCAGGAAAGCTTTCTCACAGCAGCGGAAACGGTCGGCCGCGAAGCGACTTCCTCAGTTTTCAAGCTTGAAATGTGTTGGCTCGGTATCGGCCAGATTTGTGCTCGCAGCCCGCTTCGATTTTTCAAGCCTCTCTGGAGAATGTGGTGAGATCGTCGTTGACTGCTTCGTTGTCTGCCCTAGGTGGCTGCTTATTTTGGCAAGCGCTTGTTGAACTCCTCGGCCCCGGTGGATGAAGAAGGTCAGACAGATGCCACAAGATTCCGATGCAGCACCGCCAAAGAATGCTAAGAATGCTAAGAATTCTAAAGATATCCAGGCATGCTTCAGAATATATTGACTTTGGGAGGTCTTTACTTCGACTTTGTGCACCTTGTCTGCCGATCTTCCCAGAATCGGAATGGGGACACTCAGCTACCAGTATTGAACTTCATTGAAATCACTATTGGCAGCGATCCGCTCGGGCTCTGGCATCCGCAGGAAGGGCCCAAGGCTCAAACGGATTTCGAGGAGCAGCCCGGCAGCACCAGTGCAGGTTGGTAGCACACCCATGCGTAGTTTATGTTTAGTTTAGAGTCATTGGTCTCCGCTTCCCAAGCCTTCCTTAGGACCCGCAACACCCTGAAAACCCGGAGCCTCGACTCTGAGACACAAGGGGTCTGGCACATGGTGGGGATGGAATCACAACAGACTTCTCGCCCAGATTAGTTGCCCTTATTCAGACGAGTTGTTTCTCAGGTTTTCGGGCTACATCCCGGCCGATGCCAGAGATCTCTTCAGCCGGGAGCTCACGCTCGAGCAGGCCAAGGACTGGGCCAGCTTCTGTCCCTTCCTGAGCACATATTGGGAGAGGCGTGTGACACAGCATGACACAACGATTCGCCACGACATCTCCGGTTGCTCCTTTTTTGAACTCATTGTCCATTGGAAGGAAGCGTGCAGCGCTGTCGAGGCCTGCCAAGGCTTCACCTTCCAGGCAATGTTTGGCATGTGCGACATGTTGGTAACGTCCCGTGCGATAGAGCTAACTGCAGACCTCCTCGTCCCCCTAGACTTGCAACTGTGGGGTAGCTTCAGTTGTGTCGCATGCTTAGCAGGTGAAAGCTCCAACCCCCAGGAATGTGTCAGCTTCGACAGTAAAAGGGTGGCTCGGTGACTGCTTTGCCTGAGCCCTTTCTATCCTTCCCTTCGAGATATACACTTAGATATGTGTAGATATACTTCGTATACTTGCTTGCACGTACTACTTACAAACTTACAAACCAAAGAAAAGCAGGCTGGCGTTGAGCCGGCGAAGCCCAGGATGGTGCTGCTCGGGCTTGCAAGTGCATCAGTCGAGTCGACTGCAAACTGCGGTCTAGTCTCACTCTTGTCGGGATCGCTTGTCAAACTGATTGCAAAGAGCCTGAATTGCGATGGAACGCAATGGAACTGGAACTCGCGATCACCGAGGTATTTCAAAGCCAAGCCTGCGCCTCGGCTGTCGGAGTCTGCTCTGTTTGTGTGCGCTCGCTGTGCATGTCAGTGGTCGTCGATTTAGGATCGCTTGTCGCAGAAAACATGACCATGACCTTGACCTTGACATGGCAAGCGAACACACCGTGACGCATGCGTCTGTTTTGTCTTGCCGGGGACGGTCGAGAGTACTGCGAGCAGAGCCCAGAGATCGCTCTTCTGCTATTATTAGATGAAGCCCAATGTTGTTTGTTTGTCTATCTGTTTGTTTGTTTGTGTCTGTGTGTGTGTGTGTGTGCGTGTGTTTGCAGTATGTAGGTGCATACTCATGTGCGCATGCGCGAGTGGGTGCATGTGGACGGTCGTTCCCGAGATTGAAGGTGGGAGCTTGCCGGCACGGGGTGGACATCATTTCGGCGTTCAAACCGAGCCAGAACCTCGGCACTCGGCACTGCCTTCTGTTAAGTGCATGAAACAACGTGACCCGTCCGATTTGAAGAGCCGTCAGTGACAGCAGAATTAAGTGAACGGGCAAGATGGCCACCTTGCCATCAAAGCGTCGCGGACTCGACCAGGTACCGAAGGAGGCAGATGCTTATGAAGCCCATGCCGACAATTGCTTTGAAGAGGACGGAGAAAACTGCAGTGTGCTACATTGTTGGATTGTTTTCTTTCGGAGTCGCAAGACTGCTTTGCTCAGGGAGCATTCTGTGTGAGAAAGAAGCCTTTCTATCATTGGCGAAGCCATGCTGCTGTGCCATGGCTTGACTGTCCGGCAGATCAGCATGTGGGCATCAAACGTCAGTGCCATGAACTTCTTAGGTGCTTTTCCTTCATGGTCCTGAGTCAGGTGACTTCCAGGCATATTTCGATTCAACCCGATGCAGTTGACCGGTCGTACAGTCAGCCACAGCCTTCCTTCTCGGACTTTGGCAGGGTGGCAACTTCTTCTACTCACCTGCTTTTGACAGTCCACCGGACCAGCGAGTTCGCATTGAGCCCGTGGCGGGGATTCTTGGCTGAACAGTTACCTTGGCATTCCGGTCCATGTGGGTCATGGAATCAGCCACCAAACTGTCGCATGCCATGTGCATGTCATGGGCCCTGTATCTTGCATGCGCAGCAAGAAAGTTGTGCGAGGAGGACAGTGACCTTTCGAGCAGGCAGGATTGCTTTCAGATCGCGATAAGCAAAGTGCGCAGGCCCTGGGATGCCTTGTGCAAGACTCTGTTCTTCAGGTGTTGAGAACATCCATGGGGTGGAGAAGGCCGCCCATCCAGTGTCGAGAAAAGCCGGTTGTACCGCGCTGGGCGCTGTCCTGTCAGGTCTTGTCAGGCACGCGCTGCACACTGAATCAGTGGTTTACACCAAACGCCTTTCTGGCACAACACAGCTTCTTGTATGAAAGGCAATGTGCTAGGTTCTTGACGTGACGTGTGAGTCACTTGAATTCTTTGATTCCGCTAAGAATCCGAGCTGGAAGACGCGAGGAAGCTGTTGATCAAGTACATGGAGGCTCAGGTCGGACAGCAGGTTTGATGTCTCGTGTGCGGCGATCACTGGACGAGTACTTGGTCAGCAGCTTTGACCTGAGATGCATCAGAAGCTTGTGAGCGGCCTCTATCTCGGGTCTAACATGTACTGAGCTTTGAGAAGAGGGCTCGACTTCAGATCCGTGATTCCCCGATTGCAACGGGGCTCAGAAGGCATGAGATCGGCAGAGACGAAGATCGATAACGCGGACGAGCTCGCAGTTGTTGGTTTTCGGCTGTGCAAGCCCCAAGCCACGCCAGAGCAAGGATCATGCGGCTGCAGGAACTTCGGTGAGCAAGCGGTTCGACGACAACAGCCATGAGATGGACGAAGAACTGACAAACTGTGCTCACACGCTTGACGAGTGTGGTCAACACCCTGCAAAAACGAGCAGGCATTTGAGAGAGGAGCCTCCGGTGCGACAAGTCTCCCTCCTGTGGCTGAGGAGCTCCGGCCGGACTCAAGACGACCGCTCGATGTTGTGTGCAGTGTATAGTGCCCCCTTGGTGAAGTATGGTGAAGTACATATTCTTGTAGAGCCGCGAATGAGAGCAAGCAAAGTCCAACATCCGTGAAAAGATCTGCCGAGTTCAGACGACAGGAACCTCCCTTTGCGATCTCTGCTCATGGTTCAAGTCAACGGTGCCAAAATTGATGCCGAAGGGCAATGCAAGGGAAACGTGTGGAACTGCTCTCCGATTGCCTCGGTGCGGTTTGCAGTCGCCTCCCTCGCAGGCACAGCTGGCCTACTTGAAGCCGTTCCAAATTGTCGAGCACTCATCTACTATCTGATTGGGAACCAGAGCTGTGTCGGACGCATTCGACTGCCGTGGCCTCCGAGGCTTTGCTGGCCAGCTCAGCAGCGTAAGGGACCCAGAGGGCACAGCCAAGGTGTTTTTGGCAGAAACTTCAGAAAAGTGAGCGTGCTCTGAAACCACCCGGACAAAGTCGGAAGATGTCGGACTGGTGGCAGATTCTGTAGGCACTTCCGCCTGCGGGAGCCAAAGCTCTTGGTGCGACTCGGACAGTCGGTGGGGTCTCGAAGCTCAGGATGCTCAGAAATGCTCAGAGCTTGCAGCAGCAATGCACTTCTTTCGGGACGATGACATTGTCTGCCAAGGTCGAATCTGGATGCCTTCAGCATGCAACAGGCTAGACTTGCCCCGCGTTCCCGTTCTTGGCAGGTTCGCCTTCAGATCGCCGGTAGGAAGCCATACGCGGACAGGTTGGCATTGTCGCAGAAGCCTTCGATGTCGTGGGCCATCACCATCGAAAGCTGGTGGGCAGCACACTGAGTCTGAGCATTGACTCGTTGCAGGGTACCTACTTGTGCAGATTTTACTGTAACCTTCGTGTCGGCCTCATGCGCGTCGCAGACGCGCAGAATGCAACTATCTTCCGAATGCATCGAAGGCTACATCGAGCAGATCCTTCTGAAAGCCCAGGACATGTGCCGGCAAAGATCACAACGGAATGTGTGGAGGTCGACCATACAAAACTAGGCAAGGCTGCAGATCCAAGGAACCAGTGTCCGTCTCCTTCACCCATCCTCTGGGGTTTCGCCTTCATTCGTAGACTCATAGCGCGTGAAGATCATGAAAAGTCAAGCCCTTTGCAGAGTTGGAAGCGGCCTGAAGGACAGCAACGGAGCATCACCAGGCCAAGCCGGGCAAATGCCAGCGGTTTCACAGCAGCACAGCAATACTGGAGAGTGAGCATGCCCTAATGCCCCTTCATTGTTGTGACGTATGCGTGCTGCGGATGCGGCAAGTGACGTCCCTCTCAGTGGCCGAAAGGTGGCAGGTTCAACCCAACTGGACATTGAACAAGGCTGCATCAGAAAGGGGCCACCTGTCGCGCATTACAACGTGCATGCCAGGCGACGAAGCGAGCCGTCGCCGGCTCATTGCAGCATTGCTTACTGCCGCAGCGCAACAGGAACTGCCAGATCTGCCAAATGCTGCCAATGGACCCAATGAAGCAGAGGGTGCTTGAAAATGCTTCTCGGTTTCAAACAAGAGCCCGCCAAGCCAGGAGACTTTTGCTCGACGCAGTCAGTCGACAATGCAGCGCTTTGCGGAGGAGAGCACGGTTCTGCAGTCATGCAGTATAATGTGCCTCACCGATCTCATGCCCTTGCAGGAGCTCACGACTGATTTGAAGTCATGCGCAGCTGGGCTGGAGAAGAGTGTCGCTGCAGAGACGGAATACATGACTGGGAGCAGCCGAATAGATAAACCGGAATGCGTTGCATTCCGTGCTGGCAGGCTCCATCAGACGCAGTGCTCAGGCCGTGTGCAATGCTTCGACATGGTAGGGCTAAGTGTCGCTAAGGCTGAGAGGGTTGGGACATGTTCGGTTCGCAGCAGTTCTCAGCAGTGTATCCACGTCGAAGCGCTCTGAAGTGCCTTGGGCTGGACATCGGGAATCTGCTGCCATCTTTATGAAATCAGGCCGTAGTAGTAGGACAGGCTCCAGATGCTCAACACATGTGGTGCACTGCATGCAATGATGCAGCCTTCGAGCCTTATAGCTGCTCATGACTGACAAGTAGCCGTAGCCAAGAAGTTAACCAAACGTACTTCGCAATCTCGTTCCCCGGAGGGGTCCGAGGCGAAATAAACGCAATAGGGAAGCTGCAAGGACGTCAAACGCATCAATGCCTAGCTAGCCTAGCTAGATCTACTCCAGCTCTAACTGACGCCCTTGCATCTTTCCGAGTAGGTGTGCAGCGCATGGGCTGTCACTTGTAACTTGCTGCTGGGGACGCCATGCCGGTGAGAAGGCGGGGAAAGACAGCGCTTTGTAATTATGCAGTTCTGCCGTTGAACTGCCCATCATTCTCATTTAAAGCTCCTTTTGCGGATTGGTATGACGTGTCTGAATTTCTTTTCCTGCATTTGGCATGTTTTGTACTGTTGCTGTGGTTGAATCGCTACTGATCCGTTCCATGAAAATTGAATGCCAGCAAACAGACCCATGGGTTTTGGCTGGCTTTAGACCTCAGCAGCTTGAGTGCTTTATCTTGGAAGATTATGGAAGGCCGGGAGGAAAATATCGAGGTCCTGGCCCAAGCTGAATGATCATGTTGTCATGCTGAGCATGTTTCATTCATGAGTTACAGTAGATGCGCAGATCGAGAGAGATGAGAAGGAGAAGAAGAATAAGAAGCAGAATGAGAAGAGAATGGCAGATAAAAGAGATGAGAGAGATGAGAGAGGGAGAGAGAGATTGACATGTCACACCTTCACTTCGCGCGGCTGAAGGCTTAATCGCCCGAAACAAGTCGGATGCCGAAATCGCCAAAGAGGAGCTTGAAAGGGATTTGCATGACTAAGACCATTTTCGGCTATTGGCAGAGATCATGAGTCTTCGTGAGTATGAATTGGGAAGAATGAACGCTTTGCAGAGGCACGTGATCGCCTGAAGCGTGCTACAGAGGCCCTGGGATGCTTGCCATGTCCTAGACACGCAGTGGGAGCTGATGCTTTTCGGTGTAGGTGAGGCTGTGCGTTGGTAGTGGGAGGAAGAACTTGAGCAATAGCCCATCGGCCAGAGTGGCATGTCACATTGTCGGACACGGCCAGCTTGCCAGGCGGCCATCAGACGAGGACTAGCAAGACGCAAGAAGGACCTGCCACTGCCTTTGTGCTCTTCAGCCCGGCTTGTTTTTTTGAATGGAGAGGGGCCGTTTAATGGCATTCCAGCCTGCGCTCTTTGGGTGGGCCATGACGGTATGTGGGGCAGGACCCCTTGGCCGGTACAAAGCTGAAGAAGAAGGAGGCTGGATGTGGCTGGCAAATTCAGTTTCCAAGAGGCAGCTCGTGTGATTACTTCGATTTCCAACCCTCAAGCAAAGCTCAGCTCCCTTAGGAGTTCTTTGAAGTTGTCAAGTTGTAAACCCCTGTGAAAGGAGGAGACGGAGGCCACACGCCAGCAGCGAATCCTCAACATGCTCATTGGAGGCCCAGCTCTTTGATGCTAGTGGCCACGAGCGGCATGCCGTTTTGTTGCACTGCGTGCACTGGCCGCTGGTGCTAGATCGGTTAGATGGCACGTGGGCAGTTTAGTTTAAGCAGGTGGCCGTCCGTCAGGGCATTGAATGTTCAGATTGTTACCAAACGAAGCGATCCTCGCTGAATCGTAAATGGCGTGCTGAACTTCAATGTCTCCTTCATCACTCCCGAAAGCACTCCGAGACGTCTGCCGCGAGAACATCTGAATGAGCTTGCATTGGCCAGAGATTTGCACTGACAGTATTTTCGCTGGTTGTAGGAAGAACTGAAGTCGTGTCTGTCTCCCTTTTCATGCTGCAAGGGAAAAAAGGCAATCTGAAGAAATTCTTCATGGCTTGGTTGGTTCGGTCCTCAGTTCGAGATGGAGCAAAGGGAAGGGCTTTGATGGCCGACATGTTGCCAGGACAGCTCGAGGGACATAGTGACATAGTGGGCCAATGCTGCTAGCATCAAGATGTGTCGGCGTGTCATGGAAGTCAGACGGTTGGCAAGACGTGCAAGCAAGATCTCGTAGAAATCAAATCGCAGGGAGAGGGACAGTTTTTGTGGCTGAAGAGATCGCGATTGTGTTGTGCTGACTCCCGAGACCGGCGTCCAGATACAGATGAAGGACCGTGGCCCCCGGATGCGTCCTCCCTAAAGCGACTGCTTGTAGCAGCTCCTCGGTGTGATTACGATTAAAAGCTTCAGGGGGTTCCAGTGCCTTAAGACTGGATCTCGAAGAATGGCTGCGCAAGGCAGCGCAACAGACAAAGAGCATTCAATTTCGAGGCCCTTAACCTGACGTCAGTGGGAGGAGAGCATCATCGAGGAGCGTGAGCTTGCATGGCAGCGCACCTGTCTGAAGGATGCCGCGCGCTCAGCGCGATTTGTGTACGTGCCCTCCACCCGGCTATGGTGTCTTCTGCTTCGGTCCAGCCATGGCAACAGTCCTAACTGGCAAGGGAAGCGGTGCGCCAAACCGAGCACTGAAGTCCACATGCCCCCCTAAACCCAGAAGTTCCCTAAAGCCTGAGCCCTTGAGAAACTTTCGCGGGCTCCGAGCCAACTTCAAGGCCCCATGTCACAGGAGTGCATTGCCTTGAAAGACAAGTTTTGTCAACTTGCTCAAGTCCGCTTTCGTTGCTGCCGGGCCTGGAATCTCGATAGTTCAGTACAGTAGCTGCAGCTGAAGTGCAGTACATTACAGCGGAAACGAGCGAATTTTCTTTGTCTTATACAGCACCTAATTAGCCATGGGTTGGTGCAGGCCCACGGGAAGTGCCACGCCGATGCCAGGCCGATGCGATGAAAATGCAAACTTCGTCACCAGTTAAATCTTGGTGGTAGCACTCCGGTTGACGTTCTGTGCGAATATTAGCATCTCAGACAGTTTTTGTTGCAGGGCCCGGAACTTGCTGGCTAGGCGCTAGGCCCTTTAAGCCCTGCCATGGAGAAGCTGCAGTTATAACGGACCACAAACATTGTCGCACGTGCAGGATTCAAAGTACCCAGTTCGTGTTGCCGCTCGAAGCTTTGGCCAGCGCAGGCTGTTGCATTATTCGCTGTGCCTTCAGTTGCTTGCCGAATATAAACCACGCCACATAACATGATTCTTGCTGCGAGCGTGCTTCGCCCTGAGACTTTTCAGAGGATGTGGGTAGACAATGTTCGACAATTTTTGACAGGTGCCTGGACAGGCGGCCTTGGCTCCAGTGGTCTGCCACGGAAGCTGGTTCGGGCCGAAGATTTTGGGAGTTGCGAAGCTTTGTGGAGCTCCAGCCGAGCACGCGCAGGCTGAGTCCTTGGCAGCGGCAGCGACTGGGACTCCCATCGGTGCAGCACGTGAGTCAGCCATGCTTGGCCATGACTTGGCCCGGTGGCATTCCGTCCTAGGTCTGTAAGGTCTGCATGGCGATTCTTGCAATTTCGACAGAGTCCCTGCCACATCCGGCTCAGGCGAATGCTTTCCCGAAACCGCAGAGCATGGGAAACTTGAAGGATCCTCACCTGTGAGAGATAACTTTAAGGCAGCAAGGATGTGATCTGGCAGTGCACGTCTGCATAGCATGCCTGCTCGCAGCTAGTGGCACATGCCTTGCAGACTCCCCGGCAGCTAGCATCTCACAACTCAGGACAAGTGGCGATGGCCAGGTGGTCCTCAAGGGCCAGCAGAGCCCCAGGAGCAGCCAGAGCTAGATTCTAGCCAGATGCTGCAAGGCCGGTGCTAAAGCTGCCCCAGCGCCCTTCTATAAACTTTACGGATCAAACAGAAATCCGAAAGATCGCGGCCTGAGGACTTCAAGCCAGGTGCACCAAAGAACGCTTGGCTTCAGGCTCCCACGGAAAAAGCTTGAGACCCGGGACGTGACAGGTATGCCAGTGCCACTTCTGCTCGTTTATTGCAGCGGTTGAGGGAATTGAGGGGAATGGTGGCTACACAACGTTGTGTGTCCTGTCCTCAATTCCTGACATTTTCCGAATCTTCTGGTGCAGTGCATGAGGTCGCCCACTACAAGAGCGGCCGGAAGTACAAGTTGGACCGAGACCCGGTCTAGACCGCTCTTGCGCCGCAACTTCATATCTCATCATTCCGTCATGCGTTCATAGTACATACACAGCATTCTGCCATGGGGGGTGGGAAGCATGCATTACAGTTTATCATGTTTGCAGAATGTAGAGTTACTAAACAGGGGCGGCACTCGCAAGGACTTGGGGCAGTTGAAGAATGCAACAAGAATTCGAGCACAGAACCACTGTTCATTCCTGAGACTCGTTCTGTGGCACATGGGAATCATGGGAAGTCGTATCGGTACGCCGCGGTGTAGCAGCGCTTCGACTGCACTCGCGGTTGCCTGGCCTGTGTCTGGCCATCCTTCGACACCGACGAGACGTGGGCAGAGCATGGCAGTGTTCCATCAACATGCGCTGCCACGCAGGACCCGGTGAACATGCGAGTGCAGTCGATTCACGCGCCGGCGAGCCTTAGCCGCGTTGGGCAACCAACAAGCCATGCTTAGCTGCAGCTTCAGTGTGTTGAGTCGTGCTGCATCAGAGAGTCAGAGAGATGCTGAACCCAGAAACACTTCCAGCAGTTCAGCCACTCCCACTGCGGCGACCCCTCAAGAACAAGAGGAGGATATCAAGGCCGCCAGTTTCTCTCTCTGCGAGCAGTGTGGTCAGGGAACATGCACAGGTCCTCCGAGCCATTGCTGCGTGCAACTGTATCAGAATGCCAGGTTCCGGGTCAAGTTCGCTTTGCAGACTCACCAGTTGGACGACCGAAAGTTCAGGTGGCGCATATTGGCATATTTCTTGAGTATTCTTGCTGTAGCTTATTGCTGAGATGGCGAAGTCAGGGTTGCCTGTCCGCCAGGCCTGGGCATCAATCGTATGAGACAGGGTGAGCTCACCAGTCGAGCGTGGTACTCGGGAGGTTCCAGCCCCTTCTCGGAGCCCACAGCCAAATGCCACTTCAGGTGTTGAGTTTGCCCCACTGATGCCCTGAGTGCAAGACCTCCTGCTGCATGATGGGCAGCTGCAGGGCAGCTGCTTAGGTTCTACTGGCAACATGAGCCGTGTTGCCATGTTCGGTGGTCTCTGCGGCAAGTCAAGTGTGTACAGAGAATTAAAGCCAGCAGGGAAGACAAGGTTGACCGCGAAGTGCCAATGTCTACCAGCAGTCTCCCAGTGCATCCCATGCCGAGTCAGCTTTCTTGACCCTGTTGCAGCGTACACGTAGCAGCGAAAGGACGATCAACAGCTCAATCTGTGATCCAGTTTCACCACGCCCGCCGCTTCAACCTCGTCCGCTTCAACCGCATGCGTGGTCATTGTTCTGGCGAGGCAACCCCACACCAGTACCTCAGATGAGAACGTGTGACTCTAGCAGCTAGATCAGATAGCTAGCCACCACGCCTTCAGTGCAGAAGCGGCAAAGACCCTGATTGAAGCATACGCCACAAGGCCAGCTTAGCTCTGCCGTACAATCTGGCAATTGATCACGAAGACTAGGAGAAGATTACAAAATCACGAATCCAAAGTTTCAGCGGCAGCGAAATGTCGCTAGAGCGGATGAATTCTTTCGTAAGGTTAGCTGTTGCAGCATGAGACGCTGTGTTTTTGTTCGTGATCACTATATGTCAGATGCTTGACAAGCTCGGAGAAAGTGAACGCGGGATGCAAAAGAAGCTTTTTTTGCCAAAGACACGACGGGAGACGTGGGGTGGCCACGGAGACATGGAATGCAGGCCAACGAAGCAGGATCCGCGCAGCTTGCGCGTTCGGATCAGGATTCTCAGACAGCAATTCACGCCTGCTGTTTGCAGCAGAGTCACACACACACAGACATGGGGCTTGATTTTTCGCAAGAGGAGTACCATCGAAGCTGTCAGACAAGGTGCAGCCGATGGATTGCGACATCTCTGTGTGTGTGTGTGTGTGTCAGTTGCCATGCTTTTGCCCCTGTGACCAGCGCCAAAGCCGCCGCAGCCACTCCGTCGCCTGGGTTCGCCCCTCCGAGGTCCCTGGCAGTCGAGTGTCTACACGGCCACAGGGGGCTTAAGGCTAAGCTTTAGGGGTTTAGGCTTAGAGGCTTAGAGGGGTCGATGCTGACATGCAGGAGGTCGCAGACACCAAAGGACACGGCCGTCGGAGATTGTGGCGGAGTCCGATGAGGCCACTCATCTGTTCGATCCCCATGAAGCCAATCAAGAAGCCAGCTGTCAAGGCTGCCAGTAACCGTTATGTTTCGGAGAGAGCTGGGAGAACTGTAAAAGAGCCGCTTGTTGTTATCATGAACAAAACTGAACATGCCAGATCCTTTCCCGAATGCAGGCAGAACCTGTACCTGAGAAAGCCACGTTACCCGAAAGTGGACGGGTCCGAGTTAGGGCTAATTCCAGAAATCTGCAAACATGCAACCGTCACTTTTTTTTTTACGTCAGTTTTCAAGGTCGGCCGCACCGGTAGCAGTCACCACTATCAGTTATCTCGCTCTTGGCTTGTGCCAATCCCCATTTGAGTGACAGTACATTGGCAGTATGAGGCTTGGTCCTGTCCTCCATGTTCTTTCCAGTTGTTTGTGTATACCTTTCACCGCCGTGGAAGGGTTGTCGAGTTTAGCACTTTTCGATGAGTGGAGGGGGGGGTGGGGGAGGGGGTGGTTACGTTCTTATTTCTTTTGCGTGCAGCCGGAAACGTCGGTGTCTACAGCTTCTGTTTGTCCTGGTCACTTCTGCTCCGGTTGTCGTGTCAAGTTCGTCGATTTATCGACTTTTTGGTCTCCGACGGAAACGCAGTTTTTTTGCACGTTTTCGTTTTGTTCTTGGGGGTGGGGGGGTGGGGGGGCGCTTCCAGAATCCTCGACAGTTCCCCTTTACGCTGACGCTGCAAGCGTTGACACACCAAGACCTGAACTCGCCGACACTGTCGACACACACCGCGGTGACGACTACAGTTGCCCGACAATAGGGTGGGCAAGGCAGAATGCCCATTCTGAAAGTGCGCGTTTGGTGAGTAAATAAAGACAGTAGGCAAAGGGTTTTTTCAGTGAAGGCCCGCAAGTTACGCCTGTGAGCTGTCCAGTCGTTTCGTTGCACCGATGTCTGGCAGTCTCCAGAAACAAATGGCAGTAATCGTACTACCTCGAAACGGCCACGTCTGCGACGTGATTTGGGGAGGAGGGTTCCATCGGTTCCCTTCACAACCACATCTGCCTGGTACCCCAAGTGATGCAAAGCATCAGGTAGCTAGCTTCAACATGTCGCGATGTCAATTCTGGTAAGCGGATTGCCTAGACCTCTGCCAAGCTGTCGACAAGCTATTCGAGCAGCACATCCCATTGAAGAAACTGATCACTTTTCACCACATGGCTCCTCCTTTCGTGGCGCAAAGCGCATGCTTGCTAGTCGTGATGTCCCAGCTGTATTCCAGGAAGCTGAAAGCCAGCCGGTCCAACAAGACGAGGCGCTTTTTATACTGAAAGCAGTTTCAAGTTGTCAAGGGTGGTCTGAGATGCCAGGATGTGCTGAGTTGTTTTGTTTACCCCTGAGCTTTGCAAGGCTGACAAGCCAAGGCTGGACTCCCGAAGAAGAAGTGCCAAAGCACCCAAAGCACTGCGAAAAACCGTGGAGCAGCTAGTCGCTTGCAATGTCCATCGCGCACCTCCTGGTTAAGGCCTGGCGAGATGTTTGCTGAGGCGCAGCTCCTCGATCTGGAGGTGCGATGTGCCATAATGTGCCTCATCGTGCTGCGTTGCAAGCAGCGAGGTGTGAGGTCTCCTGGTAGCAGCGGCACTTTCGAATTTCTTCCGTTCACACCACAGCCTGTGCAGGCGATTGCTGCTTCCTTGGGCAGCAGCATGACAGAACAAGCAGACGAAGCCAGCAGCCCGGAGGCCAGCAAGAAACCAAGACAGTTTGCCATGAATTTCCATCACTTGTGGCGAACAGAGGAAGCAAAACATGAAACGATGCAAGAACCTCCCAGAAGTCGCTTAGACGTGGTTCAGGTTCCTGCGCCCGCTCCACCGGGTGCAGTGCTTGGCGGCGAGGTGCTCCCGGGCATCGGCGCGGGATCTCAGACACAGATCCGGCACATCGGTCCACGTTGGCTGTCAGATGGCTTCTATCCACGAAAAACGGCTGCTTTCAGCAAGCCTCAACAAAGTCTTTGCACTCTTCTTTTTGTCTCAACCTTCAGCCCTTCACACACCAACGAGCCACCATCCCAGACCAGAGGATTTGTTGCTGGACGTGCGCGGCGCTCCTTTGGTGGTGCTGCGCTGGAGGCCTGCTCGGCTTCAGCCGGCTTTAGGCCACTTTTTGCGCAGCAAAGCAAGATCAAAGCCCTCAGCGCATGTTAGGTTTGAGGCTGCCACACTTGTGGAAGTTGAATATCCTGGCTGCTCTGTTCTTAGCTCGACCTGCAAGGTTGATGGCTTTGCACCGGCAGGGGCATCAGTGGCAGTGGTCTTAGAAGTCTTAGCATGATACTCACAATGGGTCACTGTACCACGGGGCCATCTGAGGGTAGAACAGAAGAACCACGATAAAAATGTTTGAGCGAATCATGCTAAGCATTGAAGCTTGCTATTTTGTTCGTTTTTTGCTAGGCCCGTACTCGGGAGACACCCACCTAAGCTCCGGGAGACCCCGTTGCCGTCGTTTCGCAAGCGAAAACCAGTCGGATAGGTCTCCCGGGCCCATTGCAGTCGTTTCGCAAGCGAAAACCTCCCGGACAGGTCTCCGGGAATCCCCCGCCTAAGCTCCGGGAGACCCCGCTGCAGTCGTTTCGCAAGCGAAAACCACCCGGATAGGTCTCCCGAAACCCTCCCCCTAAGCTCCGGGAGACCCCGTTCTAAACTCCGGGAGACCCGTTGCAGTCGTTTCGCAAGCGAAAGCCACGCGGATAGGTCTCCCCGGACCCTCTCCCGCCTAAGCTCCAGCAATCGACTTGGGCAGATGGCCATGAGAGGTTTCACGAAACGTTTGCCGTGGACCCGGCATGTTAATATGCAGGCACTGGCGAAGCCTTGTTGCATGTCAGGTCTGTCTACTAAGGGTCCCAAACGGCCTGAGCTCATCTGTTACTATGGACACTGACTGTTGAACACAGTGCTGTGCATTATGCGGGTGGGCCGCAGTGGACTTGATGAGATGAATGCAGGCTGACTGTTGAAAGTCGTGCTACGCGTTATTGCGGTTGTGCAGCAGTCGGCTTGCAGTCCACACCAGCAACATCCAGCAACCGTCGTTGGCCCGGCATATGCAGGCACTGGCGAAGGCTTGTTGAGTGCCAGGTCTGTCTACTAAGGGTCGCAAACAGCCTGAGCTCATCTTTTACTATGCACTCTGACTGTTGAACATAGTGTTGTGCATTATGCGGGTGGGCCGCAGTGGACTTGATGAGATGAATGCAGGCTGACTGTTGAAAGTCGTGCTACGTGTTATGCGGTTGTGCAGCAGTCGGCTTGCAGTCCACACCAGCAACATCCAGCAACCGCCGTTGGCCCGGCATATGCAGGCACTGGCGAAGGCTTGTTGCATGCCAGGTCTGTCTACTAAGGGTCGCAAACAGCCTGAGCTCATCTTTTACTATGCACTCTGACTGTTGAACATAGTGCTGTGCATTATGCGGGTGGGCCGCAGTGGACTTGATGAGATGAATGCAGGCTGACTGGTTGAAAGTCGTGCTACGTGTTATGCGGTTGTGCAGCAGTCGGCTTGCAGTCCACACCAGCAACATCCAGCAACCGTCGTTGGCCCGGCATATGCAGGCACTGGCGAAGCCAGGTCTGTCTACTAAGGGTCGCAAACAGCCTGAGCTCATCTTTTACTATGCACTCTGACTGTTGAACATAGTGTTGTGCATTATGCGGGTGGGCCGCAGTGGACTTGATGAGATGAATGCAGGCTGACTGTTGAAAGTCGTGCTACGTGTTATGCGGTTGTGCAGCAGTCGGCTTGCAGTCCACACCAGCAACATCCAGCAACCGTCGTTGGCCCGGCATATGCAGGCACTGGCGAAGGCCAGGTCTGTCTACTAAGGGTCGCAAACAGCCTGAGCTCATCTTTTACTACGCACGCTGACTGTTGAACATAGTGTTGTGCATTATGCGGGTGGGCCGCAGTGGACTTGATGAGATGAATGCAGGCTGACTGTTGAAAGTCGTGCTACGTGTTATGCGGTTGTGCAGCAGTCGGCTTGCAGTCCACACCAGCAACATCCAGCAACCGTCGTTGGCCCGGCATATGCAGGCACTGGCGAAGGCTTGTTGCATGCCAGGTCTGTCTACTAAGGGTCGCAAACAGCCTGAGCTCATCTTTTACTATGCACTCTGACTGTTGAACATAGTGTTGTGCATTATGCGGGTGGGCCGCAGTGGACTTGATGAGATGAATGCAGGCTGACTGTTGACAGTCGTGCTACGTGTTATGCGGTTGTGCAGCAGTCGGCTTGCAGTCCACACCAGCAACATCCAGCAACCGTCGTTGGCCCAGCATATGCAGGCACTGGCGAAGGCTTGTTGCTTGCCAGGTCTGTCTACTCAAACAGCCTGAGCTCATGTTTTACTATGCACTCTGACTGTTGAACATAGTGTTGTGCATTTTGCGGGTGGGCCGCAGTGGACTTGATGAGATGAATGCAGGCTGACTGTTGAAAGTCGTGCTACGTGTTATGCGGTTGTGCAGCAGTCGGCTTGCAGTCCACACCAGCAACATCCAGCAACCGTCGTTGGCCCGGCATATGCAGGCACTGGCGAAGACTTGTTGCATGCCAGGTTGTCTACTAGGGGTCACAAACGGTTTCTGTCCATCTTTTACTATGCGCTCTGACTGTTGAACGTAGTGCTGTGAATTATGCGGGTGGGCAGCAGTCGACTTGGGCAGATGGGTGCAGATGGCCAAGCGAGGCTTCACGAACTAGTTGAGCACGCTCTGACAGCAAATCATGGCGCCTGCATGGCGCAGTTGTGCAACAGTTGGCTTGGGGAGTCGTTCATGCCAGCATTCGTAGAACAAATGGGGCTCTATTGCTGGCAAAGCCGAGGGGCCGAGCGAATCGAAGAAGGTTTCGTTTTTGGAGCAGCGATTGTTGCTTTGATTCGTTTCTTCTGTAGTGCCAGACGTACTTACGAAACTGATCTGGAGGCTCAGTCAGTCAGTGTCTCTCGCTGGACTTTGGTTAGGGAAGCTGGTGAGGGAGGTCTTGGGCTTTGAGGCTGAGATGGCTTGTGATGGGCTGGGCTCACATAATCTGTTTTTGGAAAAGCCTGATTCGAAAAGTTCAATGCCCGCACAGTCGGAGCAATGTGTAGCTCAAGATACTACTCGCAGGTTGCACCGCACACGCCTCACATACACGACAGTTGACAACATGAAGATGCGGAGGAGAATGCGGGGGCTCGATTGACTAGGAGATCAAAACAGTGGGCAACTATGTAGTCTTTTACTGGCAGCTGAGCCGGAGGCCCGGCGTCTGCGCCCACCGCCGGCTCGGCGGCACTTCGAGCGCATCCTCGGTGGTAGGCTCAAAAGACAGCAGAGCACCACAGTAGAACGCAACTCTTGCCCACGCGAAGTGCCATAGCATCTGCGTCGGACAGGATATGTTGAGCCCTTGATGTCTTAGTGAAATGCACTGCGAACTCTGGCGTGGTTGGGCCCGAGCAGCTTGTAGGCCAGCGTAAGCTGAAGATAGTGGGAGGCAATGGGCTTGGCTTGCCGAAAGTTTCGTCATAGCTCGGCTGAGTCTGGACAGCCGTTCTTGCCGGCAGACGAAAGTCACTGGCGATCCTTGGCCTCAAAAGTGCAGCGCTGGCCGAAGCTATCAACAGATGTTTTTCTGTGAGTGAGCTATGGCCGCTCTGACAGCTGTGAGTGTGTTGTGTCAAAAGATCACAGATCAGACAGAGCTCCCCTGCGCATGTGCTCTCAGATGTGCTCTCAGGACTCTTCCTGTGTCTCAGTCAAGTTTGGCAAGCTCTGCGGGGCGACTCGACGAGCACCACAAAGCAGATGACGGATATCGTTGGTTGCTACATGGGGGTTTCCGAAGTTAGGGGGGGTACCTTAGTCGGGTCATTATAAGGCGATCGTACTATTTGGGGATCTCTATTGGGTGTCCCCTCTTTTCGTAAACCCCCAAATGTTGCTACTGTTTTCCGCTGTAGCTCTGGGAAGCCTGACATGCCCACTTTTCTTCCGAAGATAGGGCTTCAGCTGTGTGACTCATGCAGGCCGGGTTCTTCGCAACCAAGTTGCCGACTCTACGCCTCCTGCTCTGACCTGGCTTCTGTGGATCTCAGTAGATCCTCGAAGTGGGCAAATCATTCCATACCCAAAAGAGGACCGGACCTGCGCATGTCTGCATGGGGGGGTGATGAAATCCGAAACCCTGCACTTCCGTTCTAGTGAAGCGTGCGAAGCAAGCAGCTGGAAATGTGCCTGGAAGTAAGTCCATCCTTGTCTTCGAGTGTGAACAGTGAGCGAGGGCCGCAGAGCGCTTGGGACAGGTGAGTAGACTCTTGGAAGCTGCGCATGAGCGTGGTGATGCATTGGTGAGTCTCGGAAGCAGGCTGGAGGGGCACCGGCCGGAGTCGGAGTTGCCGCGTCTGTCCCTTTCCCTCTCCTGCAGGTTCTTCGACGCCCATGTGGAGCTCGGCCCAGCACCAGTGCAGCGCACAGGCGTGCTGTCAAGGATGCCTGTTGATCTTGCAAGGCTTTCGGGACTCCAGTTGACAGAGAAGCCTATCTAATGCCGCGTGCTGGCATCAAGTGCCTCTCGTATGGTCGTCCAAACCCCAAACTTCTAGGGATACTAGAGCCATCTAAGATTTGCATCCACGCCCTGGGCAGGGCGCGGCAGCCGCGATGTTCGTCGTTTTTCCCTGCCTAGCCCAGCGGAGCCAATTCGTCTGCACGTCGCGCCGCTCGTTTGAAGTTGTTCCTTATGAAGAACTCCATCTCTGCTCTGTTGAAGCGGCTAACTGTGGCTGGCAGAGAGATGCAGTTCTGATGGTTCATGATGCTTTGACCGCTCGCTTCAGCCGTGCCGGGTGTGTTCAGGCACGAAAGGTATCGTTGGCGCGTCGTCGAGCCAGATGCGGCACATGCAGAGGCATTTGGTGACCAAAATCATCAGCAGCCATCTTGAAGCTTTGGAATGTCCACACAGTGTCACTACCACACTACATACTCAATTAGCCCGTGCCACTGTCACCCTGCGCGCACACAACAGACCGCTAGGCATGTAGGGAAGAGCACTGACAAGCAGGTGACAGCATGAGTCATGTGGGTTTACATTTTGTGGCTAGGTTGAGATCGGTTCCAAAACAAGGAAGGCTTGGACGAAGCAATCTGAAGTCCTGGAGTGGAGGAGCGCGTGGCCTCGCTGCCCGAAGATGCGCTAAGCAGCTCGGAACTTTTGGAGATCGCCACCCCCCCAGCCGAAGCATCGCCGAGGCACGAGCTCTGACTCTGTGCGCGTTGGTTTTGGCGACTTTTGCAACCTTCTATGCTCGCTTCACATTTGCACATGGGAAGCGGCAGGCCGCGTGAGGACGACACGGAAGTGGGCCTCTGGCAATGGTGCAAGGCGTTGCCTCCTGCCATGCACTATGCAACACATCTTGGATTTCTGAATGACTTAATCCTGCTCACCAAGTACCATCACTGCGATCTAAGGAGGGTGGCGCCAGCACAGGCCGAGTTCCTGGAGGCATCAGGCTAGACATAATTGTTAGAGGTTTGGTTTCGGGGGCTCTGAGACGCAGCCTTCGCATGCCTTTGTAAAGGAGACGGAGTGGGGCCTCTACGGCAACTCAGCTGTGATTGCATCATTGGCTGGATACCGACTACATGTGCTTTCGCAAGCTTTAAATGCCCTCCGAGGACGGTCTGCTTTTGCTCTGCCGTCAATCGAAGAGATCCATAGCAGGGTGTTTTGAAGCATAACTTGAAAGATTTTATGTTAGACTGTTGGACTGGATCTGGATCGACCCCAGCTTTGAGCAGCACATGCAGCAAGGTGAGGAGCAGAATTCTGCCATAGAAGCCGCGTACCGCGCTGGACATGAGCAGGTGGCATTTGCTTGTTCATGTGTGTTGCGTGTTGCAGCTTCTGCCAGCTCCACAGCACGTTTGGGGGCTTGAAGAATAGCTTCTCACTCTGCTAGCCAGCATTTTACCTTCCTCACTGCTCTGCAGTACGTGTCCCTTGCTGCCAATTTCTGTGACCTCCTGGTACTTCCAGCCACGAACACCTGGTTGGAGCTGACAGGTTGACATCACTGTTGGGGTGCGTGTCTTTGCTGCACTGGGCCAGCACTTTGTTTTGTGAACGCTGCTTTAGGCACAGCCACCCTGCTTCTTCAGCAAGCATCTAAGAGCATCACGATGAGTCGGTCCTGCTGCGTCAGGTCAATACCAAATAGTGTTTGGTCCAGAGAGAGGTTTCGCCCAGCAGAAGGACCCGTGTACAGCATCTTGCTTGTGACACAGTATTTCAGCATTGTACTGAGAAGAAACCATCCTGTTGCGTGCAACAGCATGCTCTTGTCAGAGGCCGCTTGCTGCAAGAAATGAACTTCCACTCAAATTGAGACAATACCAAACCTGAGCCGGAGAACAGGCAACCGACTTCAATTCAGGGTTGCTCTGAATAAATGTCACCTCATAGAAAGACCCTAAGGACCCCCCTTCCAAAATAGAGCCAATGTTGACGAACCCGCCCCCCCCCCCCCCCCCCCCAAGTTGCGCTCCAGGACACCCGCCTGCGGAAACGGCGCTTGGTGCGGCGGCGTGGTGTCAGCACCGAGGAGCTGCGCAGACGACTGGAGGAGGCAAGTGTAGCTGTGTAGCTTCACGCAGAGAGCTGGAGTTCAGCTTATGCAGTGTTGCCTGTGGCAATTCAACTTGCAGAGCAGGACCACAAGAACCCCCCCCCTCCTACGTCCCCTAACGCAAAGAGAGAACTTGCAGGTGCCATAGCCCAGTCACTTTAAAGTCCTCGAATGGCCTTAAAACTGAAGCCCGCCTCCGCTTGCCCGGACGAAGCCTTCACCTGGGGAGGCCCCTTGCGGGGAGCCTTGAAAAAACGGGAGGCTCCTTTTCAAACTTTCGGGCCTCTGGATTCTCCGGAGGCTTTCGCCAAGCCTGGAATCCCAGACCCTTAATGGCCTGAAGGCCCGAAGCTTTCCTGCCTTTCTGGGCAGCCAAGGCCCTTACAGCCTGAAACTTTTAGGGCCTTAAGGCCCTGAAGATTCCTTCAGGGCCTCGGATTGCAGCTACCCTAATTGCAAAAAAAAGCCGCCCGCAAACAAAAAAATTGGATTATGTCGGGCAACCCCGAGTTCGCCGAATACTTCGGGGAAACTTGTGTGATTATAGCGGGGAGGTAAACTGAAGCGGGCGCAACATCATCGTAAGCCTCGTGGGGGTGGCTCGGGCCACAGGGTTTGATCTGGCCAATCACGTGACCTCCAACAGCAGTTTCCGAGTGCCACCGTCGAAACGATGATCGAAACGATGAGGAGGCAAGGCCACGTCATGGTGCCAGCATTGGTCAAAGGAACCTTACACCAGTCCTAGTCCTGCAGCTCCTTACTGCAATGAAAGGCATATCTTGCTCCGGTCACACTCCCACCTTGCGTGACTGGGTAGACGCACTCCCATAGAAGAGTGCTGCACTGGCAGTATTTTGATTGCCGATGCCTTGCCAACCATTCGTTGGCTTACGTCCCGCGTGCAGAGGAAGAGAAGACTGCAGATGCGTTTTCTTCGGTTGTGTATCTCACCGTAGGGCCCTGGAATCAAGAGCTGTCAGGGTACTGTGAAAAAGGTTACGCCATGTAGCTACAACGCCATCATGAACCGCTACTTGAGGTCACATAGTGTCATAGTCTGGCTTGTGAAAGTTTGATCGGAGGCTGCGCCGGTGCACTTCGAGCGCGACCAAGATGAATGCATGCTTTGCTTGATCGAGTTTTCAGCTACGCCGCAAATGCCAGCAACTTGACTGACAATCTTTGTGTTGTCGTTACATTCGCTGTACAGGTGCTTTCTCGTAAAGAACAAAAGGTGGTGGTTCGCTGCTCTTCACTGGTGTTGATGTTCTGACAGGTGGTGGAGCTGCCAGACTGCAGACACGTTTTCCATCGTGCCTGTGCCCGAGCAGCATTTACTACCCATGTGGCCTTCTATGAGCTGTCCCATCGCCACTGTACGGCCGCTACGAAATTACCGGTAACTGCTGACTCAGATTTCATATAGCTGATTCTTGCAGCTTGACGCGGCATCGTCTACTATTGTGTTAAACCATGTCGGATGCCGTAATCTGTTCAGGTGCCCAGCAGCTAATGGATACTGACGGCAGGCCTGGCAGTGCATGTCTACATGGTTTCGCGGCTATGTTTGTCAGCGTCTGCTCAATGCTGGCACTCAAGGTCGTAAGGTAAGCGGGGGGCACGTGGGCACTGCGGCCCGTTTCGATCCGTTTAACCAATGTGTCTTCCTGCGCTGGAACAGAGGTGCCCGTGCTGTAGGAGGAGCGTGGATTGGTCTGGGCTCACAGTGCTCGCTGCTTTCCGTTTTCAAGTTCAGTGCTGTGATGGCAGAAGTTCTGAGATGATTCGATCTCTGCATTCTCTGCAGGTACTCGTAGTCTGCATGTTGTGAAGATGGAATAGGGGTTTCATCGTACATGTGGACATGAGGTCTTCCTTGCGTGAGTGAGAGCTGTATGGGCCTGTTCTGCAACATGTCTGCACGGAAGTGCACTGCACTCGCGCTTTCACTGCTTACTCACGTGCAACAGCGCACTTGCAAGGCAGCCAAAGCAGTTGCAATGTACAGTGTACAGTTGGGTGGAAAACCAGGGACTACTTCACATCGAAATATCCTTCAGTGGTTTCAACCGATCCAGAAACATGCTTGATATGGTATATGTCGGTATCCGCTCCTTGTCATTTGGTGACGGTGTTGCCTGAGAGCCATAATATGGTGCAAGAAGCTGATGACAGATTGTGCGGAGATTGTGGGACAATGGGTGCGGTTTGGTGGGGAGACGTTAGCCCTGCGCAAGCCATTGACATCCGTTCATAGTGACCGGACTTTTAACTCGGAGGCATCCGGCAAACGTGAGGATCCTCAGACGATTGCGGAGGCTCGAGGTGGAGATGAAGGCCCCGACAATCAGCAGTTCTGCTTCAGAGCCAGCCCGGACTGGGTAGATCGTTGATCAGAACTCGTTCAAAGGTTTACATAGTACAGATTTGGAGTTGCCTTGGACCACCGGTTTTCACGACCGCTGCATGCAATGATTTTATGTGGCGCTGCGGCGATTCTGAAATTCTCATCTCTGGACTCTAGACATGCTGGCTGCTCAGTTGGATGGGTCGACAGCGGCACCCTTCGCAGAGACGCCGGAACTTCAGTACATCAACGTCGTGACATGCGTTGCTGACAGTATAAGACCCTCCGCGGCAGTGGTTGTTTCGTCCATCCCCCACCCCCTCAGGCGAAGGAAGAAGCGCACTTGGTACGCAGACCCATCCACTCAGCCTCACAAGGTGCAGTGTGTACTGTGCGCATGTGCGAGTGTGTGAGGGCTTGGCACATTCAATTATTTGGGCTTGCGCTCGAATATGGTCAAAGATGCAAAATACTGCAGAAGTAAGCGACCGACAGAGATAAAGACAGGAAGAACCGAAATGGAGCCTGAGATGCTGATTTCCATCCCCAGTGTTATGCCGGCCAGATCGGCACACGTGAACCCAGAATTGCAATGGCAAACGTTGTTGTGTTGAACTTTTGTGTGAGCATCGCTTCAAGGCTTCCTCCCAAACGCCTTTGAGTTGTGCCCGGGCCTGAAACCCGAATTTGGGGCACATCTTCGGAGGTTGGAGGCTCTTCCGCGGGCAAGTGGGGCAGGTGGGCAAAATGAGTCCGCCAGAACGGGCAAAGTGGCGCCAAATCCAATGCTCATGGAGCGGCCCTGCTTCTTGAAATTCCCGTTGTCATGGCAGTGGCAATGGTGGAGGAGGCCCTTTTGGTTGCAAAGAAGCATCGGAAACCTGGAACACCGGCAGGGCCCCTCAAAATGTATGTCTTGACGATCACTCTTACTCACGGTACAATGTGCTAGTAGCAAATGCGACCCGATTGGGTAGGGTCGGGAGTGCTTTGCTCATGTATGCGCATGGGTCGCCACTGGCCTCCAAGAATTTCCAGACAGCCTCGAGGGCCCTGTGGCTCCAACGGACTTGTGTTTGTTCTCGGAGGGTTGGAAAAAGCTGATGCTCTAAGCGCCAGTCGGCTGGAGGCATCGGCGGACTGCTTGCAGCAGTTGACAGACAGCACCTGATTGCCCCTACCCGTATCTCTGCAAAAGCATGTTTTGAGGCTTACAAGGTCCGTGCTCAAAGCCCAGCCGTGTGGAGTGCACTCAGTGCAAGTCTTCGGAGCGTTCAGGGAGCTGGCTGGTTTCACTCCCAGGCCACGATACAAGCGCAGCAGGCCTCATTGTTTCGTCGGCTTCGAAGGTGTAGAGCTCGGGCGCTGTCATGGTTGGTTTGCCTTTGCAGCATTGCTTGCCTTCTTCCAGGTATCGTTTGGGTGGCTTCGAGCCAAATCTTGTTGGAGGTAGTTTTGCCGAAGCCTCAGGCTACAATTACAACACGTAGCAGGCTTGCAGGGATGGGAGTGCACTGGCAGGCGCCGCTGCGCAAAATTCGCCCAGCCAAAGCATCAAACTGAGCCGATGAAGCTCCGCTTTGTACCTCGAGAGAAGATGATGCGACATGCATCAACATGCAAAAAATGCTTTTGCTTTTCTCAGGACATTGCTGGGCCATCTCCAGTACTCAGTTTGGACCAATCCGTGGCTTGAGCCCAAGCATCAGCCCAAGGCCTCAGCCTAAAAGCATCAACAAAGAGTGTGCCGACATGGCGTGCTGCGTTGGCTTGTGTGAAAGAGCTAAGGTTCTGGCCAATTCGCTTGCATCTGAGAGTGGGAAGGCTATACCAGGCAGCGTTCTCGGTCCGAAAGTGTGCTGAACATGCAACCAACACTGTCGAATCCCATGAGCTTGTCCAGCTGTTGTGTAAAACCTTGTAACTACGTCGTGACTTTTAACAGTAGTAGTGCAACCTTTGATTGTCCATAGTATTAGCCGTTGCCCCGCCTAAGTCGGTTCAGCTCTACTGCCAGGTCGTGAAAATTTGCTCCGGCAGCTAGGCAGATGGATCATGGAAACTTCATGGATGTTCACAGAATCTTCAGAACAGAACTTTGAGAACAAATGTTGTTATGCTATGCAAGGCGAGCACACTGCGAGAGCTGCGTTACTGCAGTGTGCTACATCCCTTCAGGAGCAGAGGCGAGATGTCCAGCACATTCCAAGCAACCCCTAAACCCTAAACCCTAAACCGTAAACCCTGAACCCAAATCTGATTCCATTAAGGATCAATTCGTTTATGGTTCGGGCTCTGCAGATCGGGCAGCAATGAGGGTGCGGGCTGTGATGTACTTGTACGTGTTAGATGAACATGACTGGTTCGTAAGACAAGTAACGCAGGTAAGACATAGAGGCAGCCGTCCTATGCCGTCCTTGCAAGCAGCGCTGCTTTAAGCTTGCATTGAGCTTGTCTCCTCCTGCTTTCCAGGGCTTTGGTGGCTTCATCCCGCATCGCCTCGTCGCTGGCAGAGGCAAACCTGAGCTGCCCAGCGCTGCTCCAAAGTCTCGAGGAGCAGCGTAGTGGGACTGGTGGTCTCTTTGCTTTTCTTTGGCGTCTAGATCCGGCTCGCGGCCAAAGGTGCGAAGACCCCGTATGGGCTTTGTGTGGATTCTAGCAGAAGCCAGTCCCGCGCAGACATGAGCGAGTTTCTGTGAAATGCTGCATCCTGAGGAGCGCATCTCGCGTGGCAGCGTCGTGTCATCGCTGCGAAAGCATCGGCCAACTGCATTGCAAGAATCCCAGTTGCAGAGCAGAAAGCTGGACCCCTCATACCGCCTGACTGGTACCGGAATACGAGGCAGATGTTCAGGAAACGACAGGTACTTTACAGCCTGAGAAGAAAGAAGCATAGAAACAAGCGCAGAAGTTGTCAGTTCCAGTGCTCGAAGCAGCAGCAGATGGGGGCGATCAGTGGCTTCGGCCAAAAAGCAAAGCTCAGCCATTCGAATGACCGCTCTTGCAGCTAAACTGGTGGGGGCCCTCATGGACGGGGGAATATGAGCATTGATGGTCGGCACTCGGTGGAAGAGGCAGACTTGAGCATTGCTGGGCAGTAGGACCAGACTTATCCCCAGCTTGCACAAAACTGTGCATCCAGATCGTTCTGGAGTCTTACTTGACAGCTTGCGTGTTCCAGCCAGCTGCGTATGCGGCTTGTGAGGCCACGAATTCTCCTGTCGTGCCTTGGCTACAAGGGCGTTTCGTTTGAGTTATGCTGGCATCTGTCGACATGCATGTCCCCAGTCAGCTCTTCGGTGGATGTTTATTGTGCCTTCTTGTATGGGCTCGCACAGCAATGTTGGGTTTTGCACGCCAGCGTTGGGTAATGGAACTGGCAATGCTGAGAAGAGGCTTAGGGATATGGGCTGACTTATTTTTCTGGTGAGGCGTTGGGCTATAGTTGCTTTTTGCTGCTTGTCGGGCAAAGAACCGGATGCACCTCAGATTCTCAGTTCAGAGCGTTTCTTTGGGACAGCTTGCGCCCCAAGTATAGTTGAATCTCGCAAAGGAACTGCAAGGAGTCAAGGTTGTGAAGGTGTTGCCATTCTTTGGGGGTATATCCTTTGCAACACTTTGAGCGCCGACCTCCTGTAGCAGGGAAGAGGAGCGCCCTGCGCTGCCAGGTATTTGCGGCTAGCACGTTCTTCAACCGGCCTCGATGAAGGCAGGAGGGCTAATCGTCGCCCAAGCCAAGAGGTCCTGGAATGGAACCAGCATTTTTCACAACGTGCGCATGCCGAGCATGCCATCTCTGCAACGTCGTGGGATTGCTCAAGCTTCTCGAGGCATCCAGGCTTACAGAGGCTTTCGGAGATGTTTGCTGCAGCGCATTCAGATTGGAGAAACCTTTTAACATGCCTTGTACTCTGACTCCTGCAAGAAGTCCTCAGGCAGTATTGCGCGCAGCGTAAGCGAGCAGCTGCAACCTCAGACATCCATCGCTGCGACATTTGTCGAGGAAGGTCGCCACGAAACCAAGTCGCTCTTTCTCAATGTTACGAAGGAAGTGCATCCCTTAGCTGTTTTGGAGGCTGCACGAACTCCTACGAATCGGGCCTGATCGTCGTTGTTGACCTAGAAGTTCTTCTCAGGGACAGTGTGTTGCGTTTACATGCGCTTGTGTCTGTTGGTTTTGTGGAGGGGCTTTGACGGCTTGGACGAGCCTCAGTGGAAAGCCGACTTGAACAGCCCTGAAGTCTGAGTTGCGCCGCTTTGGATCCTGCCAGCTGACGAGCTGGCTGGGGGCACAGCCGTGGTTCGAAGTCACACGAGTGCATGCAAATGTAAGGTGTTTCTTCATCTTCCGCATGCGGCCAAGGCGAGCATTGTGCACAGCCTTGCGGAACTGTTGGGTGATCCTGGTGCTTTGGTGCCGGCCTCCGGCTATTCGACTGTCCAACTGTCCTCCAACTGTCCTCTTCACGGCCAGTTCGCTTTGGTGGCTTGCATGAAGCATAGAGAAGACAAAGGAATCCCGAAGCCGAGCACGGCTGCGAAGGAGCCTGCTTGCAGGCAGTTGCCTCGTGCAATGACAGACGCCGTTGCGCAATGAGTTACTGCCTGCAGGCCTGGTTGCAGTCGATCGTGAAAGTCAGGGGGCCCCACTCCCTGCCGGCTGGCCCAGGCTGCTCGGGCACTAGCACCCTGCAACCGCGGGATGCCCCTTGTCAAGATTGAGAGGCCCTTGCAGGGCGCAGCTGGTGCTCCACCAACTGCGGCAGAGCTTGAGATGTGCGGCTGCCCAGCATCGTTCGTTGCATGCTGCCTGAGCAGCATTCATGTCCATGTCTGCTTGAACGGCCACACATCCTGGCTGTGAGGCTGGTTGCTGGCGTTTGTTGGCTTTCGCCCAGCTGCATGTTTGCGGTTCTCAGTAAAGCAATCAAGAGGGATAGACATGTGTTCCATAAGTGAATCGACTGGCTCCACCGTCTTGCTCAAGTGCCAGGAACGGACGGAGCAAGCAAATGGTGGAGGCTTCAAGTTAGTTTCGCAGACCTTCGCAAAACTCTTGGCTTAGCTTGGAGAAGAATCCTTGTCGCAGGTGTCTACCCGACTGGCTATCTCAGCGGCTTGGTAAAGTTTGTGTCGAACATGGCAGACACTGTTTTAGTGCAGTTATCTTTGACTCTGTGTGAAGGCAAACCGTGCTGAAGAGAAGGCAGCGGCATGGAGGAATCGAACCGAAAGTGCGGAAGATAAAAAGGTTCAAAGGGGAAAGGGCGCGCCACACCAATCTACGCGATTCAATTGTCGACAATTCCCATTCATTTCGGTTTATTTCGTTTCGGTTTAACAGCAAGATATAATGGTTGATATTTTACAATTTTCTTTCAAAAAGAGATTTTATTTCAAGAGAGGACCTGGTTTTAAAATGAAATGAGGATGATGAAAAAATGACATCGTATGGAAAATTAGACTGAAAAATTTTTGCTTACGAGATTTTTAAATATAAATGAACATATTCTATGGGAATGATTATTATTTTGACTTTATCCCTTGAATATCTATCGTTTGTTTCGACAATGATATTTCTCCCATGAATTCCGATTATATGGGAGGGTATTATATATGGTATCATATATTTCGGATTTGAGGTTTTTCATGATTTGATGATCTACGATCATATTTTCAATTTAATTGATCGGGCGGATATTTTATATTTCTGCGTATTTCGGATCTATGGTGCCCTAGGATTTCTGATTATGAATTTAATTTGGATCGGGTCGGAGATTATGAGA